CTCCCACAACATGTATACACAACGTATGCATGAACACATTAACCATGATTGAGAGTTGAACTGGGGACACCATGCGCTCGCCACTGCACGATCTCTCAATCCGCCCAGTTTTATCGCTTCGAACTTTTGACCTCGTGCTCAAAGTCTCTTTTTTTAGTGAGAGTTCCCCTATTGTACATGTTCATGATCATTTTGTGATACGTAGAATCCAGTTTCACGTCGAACTCGGACCGTTATCTAACGGAGAAAGTCATTGCATGTAAACATCTGGCAGTTCACCCATCTGGCAGTTTTTTTGTTGTTGAATGCAAGAACACACTGGGCTGGCTTTGACAATTCATCGTCTCAACGGCAAGCTTGCTTAAGCCAATGATGCTGAATAAACACACTCCCGGAATGTTCGTGGCTGATGGAATGTGTAAAAAAAAATGTTTTTACGGAAACAGACAAATATTGTTCGGAGGCATATAATTTGCTTATTTAATTTATTTATTCTACATGAGTTATGTGCATTGGACAGGGCTTCGTTTGTGTAATCTCAAATCCCAAGCAGAAGTCTGCTCGGCCAGGCTGAGTGTGTGCATCTTGAATTGTTGAATATATTAATTCACCTGTGTACATACACTTTGAGTCGCATGCAAATAACATTGTAATTGAAGTACCCATAACTAATATTACTGGACGATATTTTATTCCAGGTTTAAAAAATATGTGTTTATTGAGAGACGAGATTATGGTAATAAAACAAATCCACTCAAGGACAGCAAGGAATAATGTTTAAAATAATAGAATGCATATGTAATTATTATTATTTACAAAACGATATTGTATTAGAAATTGTAAGATGATTAGTTTGTATATAGAAAAATTACATATCTGAATTTGGAGCTTGCAAATGTACGTGATATTTGTAGTTTCTGGAGCCAATCATGGACATGTTATTTATACTAAAACTGACATGTGTGACGTGTGCAAACCTGGCTTTCACGCTTCAATGGATTGCGATTTTAAAATAACTCAAAATGAAATGGGTAAGTCCAATTATTACATTATTTTCTCACAAACTACACAAAGAATAATTACTACCCCAAAAATACACAGATGGCCACGTCTTCTGTGTATACATGTGATGTTTTGCTTGTGTTTATAATTTCGATGCACAATACACTTCATATCCTGGGCAAGTATAAACCACGCCTGTTTATCATTTAACTGAAGAAGTCCTCTCTGGAGGAATAACCAAGCTGCTTCACACACAAGACACTAATTATTTGTACACACAAAAAAAACAATCAAAGTCTAATTGAAAAATAGCAAAGTCTCCCTTTCATTTTTCACGTAAGAAATGTTTGGAATTTTAAGAAACCCGCGCGTCTTCTGGGCACGAATTCCCACCACAGGGCTGATTTTTGTTGTGGCTCGATTGAATGTCAAAATGACAGTGGAATGAAGAGTGCCATGCTCCATTACCAATTTAGTTAACGGTGTCGAAGGCTGTGCATCACACCGATTGATCCATTATTCCAGCGGACCGTTTATTAATATTCTGCTTTAACCTCTGTGGCAAGAACAACATTATAATGTGCACTGTGCCCACAAATCAATCTACACCGAGGTGTGTATAGTTTCGTTTCTGCTCGCAATAGCCCACGAGTCTCGGGGGTTTGTCAGTACCACCTGGATTGGCAAATGCTACTCATGTCCACCATGGGCAGTGCACTGTTTGTGTTGTAGACATGATTCCAATGTATCACGTTGGGTTTTCCCCTCCCTTCCCCTCCAAAATCAACTGTGTCTTTCAAACATACTGCAGTTAATTTATTTTCTCATGAAAGCTACCACACTGTGACCTTGCTATCACGCATTGATGCAATTCAGGGATAAAAAAAAAATGACTCAAGAAAATCCACATTAGCGTTTGGCACCCTGGGTGTTTCTCATAGGATATGTTAGCCAACGCTTGCTGGTGTATACATGACAAAGGACAATCGTGCATAGCCTGCAGTTTTGTTTTTGTCACGCAGGCTAAATGTGCAGCTTCATTTCGTCTCGACCCGACAATTCCAAGTGGCTCGGTCACGGACAAGCAGTGAAAATTGTGCCAGTGGCCAATACCGTTTCAGTGCCCGTTCGTGTAATCCTTCACATTCCTCCGTATGCTCTCCAGAATCAATCCCAGAGCAGCAACCTGTCCTGTACACGTAGCAGCTGGCTGGCCGGGGTAGTCTTGGCAAAGCTCGCGAGGACAATAGACTGCCATCTCCAATAAGACCACTGGGGAGACATGCGCCTCGATTTCGGAGAGCAGGCACAACCCACCTCTCCCAGGTGTGCCTCTCCAAATTGGTCACGCAACTACGGTACGATTCTAGGGGGGGGGGGGGGGGTCAAACAGATGGTGTTTCCCATAGGAAGATATGTACAGACAGATTAACATAAATGGCTTTCTCCGTAATGCGACAATGCACATCGAAGCAATGCCTTGCAACGAAGGGATGATTTTTGCGGCGTGCAGAGGTGCGCGACGCTAATTTTAGCTCGCCCCCGCCTACTCCCGTGGAGGGCTGCTTCAAACGAAGCCTCTCAGTGGTCCTCCTCCACGTTTCCAACCTCCCCTCCCACCCTACGCTGTGCTGCTGCAAGAGGTTGTCTGCGAGCGATGAACCCATTTCAACCCTGTCGGCTGCCTTGTTTCCAATTCCCTCTATGTTTACCACCGACGACATCTGCCGTTCTGGCAACAAGAAGAAAAAACCGTGAGGAATTGGTGACTTCCATCAACGGCATTTGCAAACAGTGGGTCAACGTGTGCGTGTGTCTGCTATCGCCTAAAGTGCAATGTTGCAAATGAAGCCCAGTTGAATTTTAAACACTCAACAACGGCCAACTGGAGACCTGGATCTCCCTGGAAAAAGATATAATGAGTCTCAGCGGACTCACACCTGATTAATTAAAGCACGCCAGTTGATTGAACATTTGGCTCAATTTTGAGATTAAAATCACTCACATTTTTTTGCGAGCTGTTTATATATTATGTATGAGATATATTTTTTGGGATTATTAAAGCTGGCAGCTGAGAAACTGAACTGTTGCCCTTTTATGAAAGGACCTGTATCAGTGTCTGTGGCAATTATGTGACCTCAAGTGTTAAATATATTGTTTTAATAAACAAGGAAAGTATAGTAGCACTGCACTTTAATAATACAAAAATGCAATTTGCTGCTTGTTCACCAACATGTTATTTATTTATACCCCTCCCCCCATTTATTGGCGTATTTACTTTTAAAAATAGACTTCACATTTGATTTGAAGCTTTCGTGACTGCAGGAATTATTCTTTGGTTCTTTCGGTAAAGTCAGGTAGAAAGAAAATAAATAAAATAATAGAATACGACGTTTCGATTGCAACACAAGCAATCGTCATCAGGTAGAACTAAATTTGATAGCGACAAAACACAGACACGGAAACACACAGACAGACACACAAGCAGAGAGAGACAACACAGAGAGAGACACACACAACATAGACACACTTTGCTGAAATTTCGGGAGGCAGCATGCCGCCTTGGCTAGATTTTATTTTCGGTTGAGTGCTGGGATTATACGTCTTCTATTTGTAGAGATTGCAATGCTGCTTTGTGTCTCATGGTCACAAATAGTTGTTGATGCTCGTGTAAGTATGCAGTGTTTGATTAAGATGGCACATTAAGCGTTGCACCTTCTGATACCCGACGAACAAAAATAAGTGTGCGGCCAAGGCACGTAGAAAACTGCGAATCAGCAATTTACACCGTGGCATTAAAGCAGTAAATCGTGAGCGCTCCTGTCCACTGAACGATCAGAGCATCATTTTTACCATCCCTGTGCGAGTCATTGAACAGTATATTGCTGGGCAGGATATATAATATGCGATTAATGAATGATTTGGTTCGTGGGATGCACGTACTGAGTGTGTAAGTGCTTGTACAGCTTCTACAAGGACATGTTCTACAAGGGACTGCAATTGCTCCGCACCATTCTTTCTTCACAGCTAGAAAATCAATGTAGAAAATAAAATTAATTTTTGGCTTCTGCAGGGAATTTCGAATTTATAGATCCAATTGTAGGCCCCTAAATTGCCTCTGTCTCGTCTTAACTGATTTTTCGAAGAGGAAAACATTACCTCGAGTGATTAACTGTGTATTTTACCCGCGACAATGACCCAATGTCCTAATCGGTGTTTTAATTAGGCATTGTTGGTAAATTGTTATTTTTGTGCAATTATCCACAAAGAAAGACAACCATTGTGTTCAATTTCAAGATTCCTTTTTTTCATTCAGTAATTCTATTTTTCACATGACTATTATATGATTCATGCATTACCCTTGGGCTTATTCTGTATTTTCTTAGATCCCACTACAATGTGTGTGTGTCGATACTGAAGTGTATGCTTAAATTTACATACAATTATTCTACGTAACATTTACTGAGTGGTTGTTAAATAAAGGAAAATTTCCGCTGCGTGAAAAAAGTGTTCATTTTACAGATCACCTTGTAAAAGATTAAAGCGTCGGTGTTATCCTGCAATTAAACTTCCTTCGTGCAATTGTTTGTCTTGTAATGCAGAGTGCAACCCGATCTGAAAAGCATATCAAGGTCATCGTAGGAAACCAAACCCAATCTGCTGACAACAAAACCTATTGCATACAGCCGTTTCAATTCTCTTCGTTTTCAAGTGCCGAGTGAGATGCACACATTGCTAAGCAACGACGCTGAATTTTTTTAAATATATTTTTGAATACGAATCCCTTAGCAACGCGATGCTCCTGTGTCATGGAAATATCAGATAATTCCACGGTGACAGAGAATGCATTTGGAAACCAGCGATCGCTTTGAGACGAAAGGAAATATACGAATGCAAGCAAACACGCATGCAAGACACGTGATAAATACGGCTGGCAAATGTAACAGCCGCATGCCAACGAGAGGAATGCAAAATATGTACGGAGTGCATTGCCTTACCTTGCAAACTTCATACAGCAAATTATAGTTTTCATCCTGCTTCTGTGAACCGCAGAGATTGCATCCCATGTTTGGTCTCAGTTGAAGTGGCACAGTTAGATAGAGACCCTTCGCGCAGGGCTATAGGCACGACATTAACAGCAGCAACGAAAAGGTATATTTCCACATCTAAGAAAATTCGAATGAAATATATCAATATTTTTTTTCAACGGGTTAGCGAGATTTTTTTTTTGTCTTTTCTTTGGTGGCGGGAGGGGGGGGGGGAGGTAAATAAATAAATAAATAGGGTTGCCTCGTCGCCCGCCGACAACAATGTTCCTTGCCGCAGTCACAGCGGCGCTTTCGGACGAATTCCCGCGCACTTGATCGTCAGAAGGGCAGAGCCTGGGCTCAGCAGCAGGTTGCCTTCTTCCAATCGCTGTCCTTCACCATTACCTCGCAGCACCCCCCCCCCCACCACCACCCGCCCTCTTCTCTCGTCCGCCCTGCCGCCTGAGGATGCGGCTGCGTGGCGCGCGCACGCACGCGCGCGCGTGGGAAGGGCACGCGGCACGCACGCGCGCGTGGGGAGGGCACGCGACACACACACGGCATGCGCACACACGGCACACACACACACACAGCAGACACACACACGGCACACACTCACGCGCGCACGTGGGGAGGGCACGCGGCACACACACACACGGCAGACACACACGGCACACGCACGCACGGCAGACACACACGGCACACACACACTCACGGCACACACGGCACACACTCACGCGCGCACGTAAGCACGCACGCGCACGTGGGGAGGGCACGCGGTACACACACACACACGGCAAACACACACGGCACACACGCACACACGGCACACACTCACGCGCGCAGGTAAGCACGCACGCGCACGTGGGAAGGGCACGCGGCACACACACACGGCACACACACGCGGCACACACACACGGCACACACACACGCACACGGCACACACACACGGCACACGCACACACGGCACACACTCACGCGCGCACGTAAGCACGCACGCGCGCGTGGGGAGGGCACGCGGCACGCACCCGCCCCCAGATTTCACGCCGTCAAGACGCCGATGCGGGTTTTTCATGCCGACGCTCGCTTTAAAAAAAAACCATATAAATATAGACTCCGCCTCAAGCATAGCGATGAGGGGCCCTCATTGACTATTCATGATTCCTGCCATGGGGATTCTGTAAATTGGCAGCTGTGATAGATGAATATGCACTAATTACAGCGAGGCTGCGTTGCGGGGCGCAAGGAGCCGGCGTCGAGAGGAGATGCCCCCCCCCCCTGGAAGCAAGAAGCACGTCGTGGAAGCTTCGCCTTGTTGCTGGAAGCAAGAAGCACTGAGTGGAAGAGAATCCCCTTGTTGATGGAAGCAAGAAGCACGGAGTGGAAGCTTCGCCTTGTTGATGGAAGCAAGAAGCACGGAGTGGAAGCTTCGCCTTGTTGCTGGAAGCAAGAAGCACGGCGTGGAAGCTTCTCCTTGTTGCTGGAAGCAGCAAGAAGCACGGAGTGGAAGCTTCGCCTTGGTGCTGGAAGCAGCAAGAAGCACGGCGTGGAAGCTTCGCCTTGTTGCTGGAAGCAGCAAGAAGCACGGCGTGGAAGCTTCGCCTTGTTGCTGGAAGCAAGAAGAAGCACGGCCGTGAAAAATCGCCGCTCGCGTTGGCGGCTTGTCCACAGTTCATTCCGCAGAGCGTGCAGCCCAGACGCACAGAGTTTTGAATAAATAAAACGTCTCAAGTTGTTGTTGCTGCTTTGATATCACTGGTTAACAAAAAAATACATTTTTTTCTGGCTTGGACTTTTGCAGCTGTTTTAGACTAATTTCTGGGTGCTGATTCCAAATCTGATCTCAGATTTGCTCTATCACATCTCATTTTTATGCTATCGGCATACCCCATTTTCATTGATTTTATCCGAAATTAACTCTGTCACTTATGATTGCAAGTTGTTGCGAGTCAGTGACTGCTTTAGTGATAAAATATGGTGCTGTATTTTTAGTATAGTGTGTTTATAATATAATGTTATGTAGATATCCACATTTATTTAATATTTTTCTTCTACAGTTTTTATTGAAAATGCAATATTCGATATCTTAAAACCTGATGTGATAGACAAAAACTGATGCCAGATTTGGAATCAGCACCCCAAAATGACCTTAAAAACGTTGGAATACCTTATGCCAGAAAAAGTGTGTTGACCAGTGTATTCGACTACAAATGTCACGTACTCGTGGCACGCGCTGCTGCAGACACGATGCATTGGAAAAAAGAAAAAAAATCTAATTAACAAATATATTTACCACATATTATGTTGGTCTTTCGGTAAAGCCACGTGGATAGAAAAAATAATAAAAATATCGCGACGTTTCGATCGCAACGCAAGCAGTCGTCATCGGGAGACAAAAAATAGCGATAGAGCTGCTGAGGCAGGATGTTGTCAAGACATTTAGCCGGTTAATGTAAAGACATGTAACCTGTTAATGTAACACCAGAGAGTCGAAATAACTACTAAAGACGACAGCCAGATACAGACACAATTTCTACCGAGAAGATGGGTACAAACTGAGCAATTATTGGAAGGACGTTATTAACCAGTTTAAGTCATAACTGGCTGTGATGTTTAGTAGTTTATTTTCGACACTCTGGTGCTACATGAACAGGTTAAATGTCTTTACATTAACAGGTTAAATATCTCACTAACACAGCCACCGTTGCTCGTTTTCCTTGCTGTGTCGGTGGCTCTACGATCTTACATTGACATGCAAATCTCTTCGCTAGCCCCGCCCACTTCGCTTATGACCCTTGGGCTACACCCATCTCAAACCTTTAGAACATCCTGCCTCAGCAGCTCTCTCGCTATTTTTTCACCTGATGACGATTGCTTGTGTTGCGATCAAAACGTCGTGATATATTTTTAATTATTTTTTCTATCTACGTCGCTTTACCGAAAGACCCAAAGAATGTGAATTCCTGCAGTCACGAAAGGTTTACGTGAAGACATATGACATACGTGTCTTCGATTTAAAGCTTTCGTGACTGCAGGGATTCATCTTCTTGGTTCTTTCGGTAAAGTCACGTAGAAGGGAAGTAATAAAATAATAAAAATAAAACATAATAAAATAAATTAATTCTCACGACGTTTCGGCTACAACGCAAGCAGCCGTCTTCAAGTGAAGAATGAGACACTGCCAAGCTAGGAGCTTATATATAAGCTGGGTTGGAGGTGGAAGAGCGCCTTAACAAAAAGAATGTGCATATCAAGAGGAATTTAGCATATTCATGGGGAAAATGCGTAGGAGGTGGGCGGGGGGGTTTCAAAGTGATATTATGCCCATGCATTATGCAGGATCAGCAGCACCAAGGGAGGGTGCAGGGAGTAGCATTAACAAAGGACAGGAATGTTAATAGTATGTAGCTGCAGTTACTAAACAACCACGTAGAAAAACTAAAGTATAAACTACATACTGGGTAATTACGTCAGGGCAAAACACAAACCTTTCCTGTTCCGCAAACATTACCCAGAAAATGGAAATATGCGACCAAAGGATGACTTTATCCTTCAACAGATATTTGCATTTTGATACATTCCCTGCGCATGTGCAAAGTGTGCGAAGTTAGCAATAATTGTACCTCTTAACATCAATTACATCGTTTGGCCGCACGCCAAACCTGATCATTATTGGCTCGTTTCCAAAACCACACACGCCAACCTTACATCTTAATACTGGCGACTTATTGAAATATGTTGTTTGTCAGTCGACCAGGTGGTAACTTGATCATACTTACACGCACGATAGCATGCTACGATTTGGAGAGTGGACGAAATGGTTTAACGGAACCAACCATCCCGCCTGTCAACTGCGAGTCGTTAAAAGGTGGAAATTGATCCCGTCGCAGAGAGCGCGTGACGGTTCATGTTGGGATAAGGTTACGATAGAGAGTAGACATTGCAAGCAATTTAATAAGTTATCTAGAATCATAATCTCACAACAACAAACAGTACAAAAGAAAAGAACACGATAGGAGTGCAAAGTTTGGGAAAGATAAGCAAATGGCAAAAAACAAATACATGAGAGATAAAAGTTGCTGTCATCCCTTGTCATGGAACGGATAATTACACTGGTCAACAAAAAAAAACATTTATTTCTGGCCTGGACTTTTGCAGCTGTTTTAGACTAATTTCAGGGTGCTGATTCCAAATCTGATCTCAGATTTGCTCTATCACATCTCATTTTATGCTATCGGCATACCCCATTTTCATTGATTTTTCCCGAAATTAACTCTGTCACTTATGATTGCAAGTTGTTGCGAGTCAGTGACTGCTTTAGTGTTAAAATATGGTGCTGTATTTTTAGGATAGTGGGTTTATAATATAATTTTATGTAGATATCCACATAAATTTAATAATTTTCTTCTGCAGTTTTTATTGAAAATGCAATATTTGATATCTCAAAAACCTGATGTAATAGACAAAAACTGATGCCAGATTTGGAATAAGTTCCTCAAAATTACATTAAAACCGTTGGAATACCTTATGCCAGAAAACGTGTGTTGACCGGTGTAATTGTGGACACGGTCAGCGCATCTTCTGTTATAAAAACCCGGCGTTCCGTCTGTCCGTCAACTAAATGATAGCAGCCTTTCAGAAGGACTGAATCTAAAAGTTATAAAAAGTGGACTCCCCCCCACCCACTCACCCCCAGAAGTGGGGTAAAAAGGTTGATCCAACAGGTTTCCAACAATTGTCAATTCCCCACCCCAAAAAATAATGCACCCCCCCCCCCCCCCCGAAAGAAAGACTTTTCTTTTGTAGGGATTTGGGGCCGTTCATAAATGACGTCACGCACCTGGGGGGGGTCAGACATTTGTGACGATGTGTGACGATGGGGCGGGGGGTCGGTTTGAGAAATGTGACGTTACATCAAAATGCGCAACTTTAAATAAATATAGACAACACGTTCTACTTAATTGAATAGACTTTTTAATAAATGTTTCTCCTACAACATCAGAGTGCAGCGCCACATTAAATACGCACTACAATGACAATAGTTTAAAGCGATTTGAAGCATGTTTTTTATTTTTTTTGGGGGGGGGCAGAGCTTTGTGACGTCATATTTGAGGGGGGGTCTGACTTTTTGTGACGCCGTGTGACGAAGGGGGGGGGGGTCAAAAATCGTCTAAAATTGCGTGACGTCATTTATGGACGGCTCCTATATAGCTACACACCCGACTCACAATAGAGTCAGTAGGATCTGCACACATTGAAGGAGGAGGGGGGGAAAGAATACATCAGTGAGGGCGACGGGCGAACGCCAAGCACCGAGAAGTGCTCCGCATGGAGCTTGCACAAGGCCGTCCACATTCTGGTGTTCAAAAATAGAGTGAACGCAAAGGTGCAGCCCCGCAATTGCTCACTCCAACGCCTGCTGACGGAAAGGGCCTCCACTCGCGAGAGCTATCGAGACACCCCCGTCTCCAAGGCCACTTGGCTTTCTATTCCATGTTGGTTGAGCGTCTTTAAAGAGGTGGAAATAACGGTTAAGTAACCG